TACGACTGCTGGCTGATATGATTTCGGCAACCATACGGATTTTGTGGGGTTGATTTCGGACCGACGAACTCCTAAACCAACTCCAGCTAGTACTAAGCTTGTAATATAGAGGTAGTGTCGATCATGAAGCTGGCAAACCAACACCGTGAGAACAACGCCACTTCTACGTGGAGTTTTATGCTCCGCTTGGAATATAAGGAATTCGCAAAACTCACATTTACAAAGGCATCATGCAGTGAAATAATTAAGAGTATTTCTTATGAAAACAAAGGTTCATGGCAGATAAAATAGATTCCAGATACCCACCCTTTCTAGCTAGACACATATGAATATCTGCTAAATTTCTACATGCTTTCTACATCTTTTTATCGGTTAGTTGTGTTTATAAATTTACTTGATAAATTCTCACAGTTTGACCACAGATTGATTAAAAATCAAGGTGTACTGTAATCAGGACAGATACTTTGCTGATGACATTAGCTGGTGGTTGGGCGAAAATCACGGATTGATAGCAGTTAGAATTCATGGTCTGACCATTGAGTCGGCCACTCCCACTGGCTGAATGGTCTGCCAACTTGTTTTATAACTGGGACGTTGGCAGCAAAGACAGGACTTGAATTAAACATAGAAAAGGCGGAAGTGATGAAGATAAGTAACCACCACCGTACCAAAGGGCCGGTGTACTGGTCATCAATCCGCTCCGTCCTCCTTTATGGCTGTGACTTAGACCTGGCCATTGAGATATGCAAAGCTTGGTTAGCTGTCTTTGATCATAGATGCCTGCGCTCTATCTCCCGTGTGAAGTGGTATAATAAGGTGAGAAATATTGAGGTTAGGCGTCGGTCGAGTGCTAGGTAGTTGGGAGGGGAAATTAATCAATGAGGCTGTGAAATTACATCGAATGAGTTAGATGGTTAGGAAATGTGTTACGTATGCCTAGTCATCGCCTTCCTCAACAGTGGGCAATGTTAGCTGACATAGGATTGGTCAGGCTGGAAAAGAGCTGTTGGTGGTCAAACTAAAACATGGCACCAGTCAATGAAATCTACGACAGTTAGTTTAGGCTGGTCACATAGGAAGAGGTAGACTTCCTGACTGGTTGGGGTCCTCAGGATGGTAAAAACCAATGGTTGGAAACAATTGGTGACATGGCTCAAAATCGTTCTCAGTGACTGGTGGAGATGCATCCACCCCTTATGACAGATGATTTCCAATGAAGCTATATTGTTCTTCGTTACTACTATTCCTTTGTCTCACACCTCTGTTTACTGTCTATATTATGCATTTCTTCTACTTTCTTGTGTTGCTTTGTGTGCTACAAGGATTGGAGTGTGGCAACTCGAACTCCCGCACATCGGTGCAAAGTTTTATATCGAAAACAGACAGACAGACAGAACCACTACCGTACAACGGGCAAATAGGCATATTAGGCTACCAGTCGAGTTCACCATTATTATCGTATACCAATCAGCAGGCGCAAACATAACAAACAAGTTATGGGTTATGTTATGTTATAACACCACCACCAACAACAACAAGCACCAGTGAGTATAAACGGGAGACATGTGAATGAGGTTACTTCCTTCACTTATGTAGGCAGTATCGTTTTAGCTACAAGCGGAACGGATAAAGATGTCAAAGTCAGCGAGAATAGGAAAGTCAAGACAGATCATCACCACTCTGAAATCTGTTTGGATATTATCTGAACTCAGCAATAAACAACAAGATTCGGATTTTCAACAGCCAATAATAATTCAGTCATCGCTTCAGTGCTTGGGTCAGAAAATTGGCGTACGCGTCACAAAAAGTATTTCTAGCAGGCCACTACACACTTTTACCATCAGCTGCCCTCGGTAGCTCCATACTGAAGGTCCGATGGTCGGAAAGATCTGGCATCTTGATACTCTGGTGGCAAACTGATCAAGGGTCGGACACACCCTAAGAAGATCGTGGAACAGCATCGCACTCCAGGCCATAGCTCGAGTGGGACCCGAGTGAGAAGCGGCAAGTTTGTCGTCTGAGAGTGAAATGGAGGAGATCGTGTGAGGAGAATATATCAGAGACTTCTGATAGTCGTCGGGTCATTGAAAGAGGACAGCAGACAACAGAATAAAGTGATGTTCTATTGAAGCCCTGTGTTCCATTCGGAATCCAAGGGGGGTATACAATGTATGCGGTTAATAATATAACAGTAATAGAACTTTTCATTTAGTACTCCAAATTCACTTTGAAAGGCAGGTTAGACACTTCTCTGTCATGAATCAGGCGAAAATTAACATGGTCTTCTAAAATTCTGAATTCTAATCTGTATTTAATTATTGTATAGGTGTGTTTCAGATACGCCGGTTGATCATAAGGCATTTCTTCAATGGGTTTTCAAATGTGGTTACCACTCTAATAGATTTGTTTTACAATGCACTTGTGATTGCAGTTGGTTAGTTAAAAAGAACATCATCTAAGAGCCTTAGGTCAAAGTTTTTTTCTTATTGTTGGCACATACGTTTGGAAGAAATAGCACTAGGCATCACGTAGATCTGCTGACCTTTTACAGGCGATACATTGATTGACAATATGAAAGTAACTAATACTGGCACCTAGGATGAAACAAGTTTCAGATTTGTTGGGATGCCTTTGAATACAGGTTTTATTTGAAACTTCGTGTTGTAATCATATTAATCTTCTTATTCTTTCTAATATTATGAATACCTGAGCGCATGGATATTCTGTGTTTATGTTAGTCTGGCCGTTATTAATATACTATAATATAACGGTCATTTCACATACTTATCATATGATGCAGCATCGACATGGCTGTAAATTTATGGTGATTTGAGTTGATTTGGTTCGCTGCCTAGCGTGGTGGTGGTGGTCACATTGCGAACTTGACTGATGAAATGCTGTCTACACCAAACAAAAGACTAGATACATTACACTTGTTACTGACTAGCGTCCAATCAAAAATATCCAATAGATTCCTACAAGAGTTCAATCGTGAATCTGAATATTTCAGTGTTAACGTCTTTGACTGCAGCATTGGGTGATGTGGGTTCGAATCTCAGAAGTGACATGAATTCCTTCAAGATTGCAGGTACGGCTTTCTGACTAGTGAGAGTGCCAAGTAGCACGAAACCTAAATCGAAGGCTTCCTACTGATTGTCTCCAGCCATCTAATATATTAGTGGCATTACAATGAAAAAACATGTATGCATCTTGGTTTGTGTGTGTGTGTGTGTGTGTCTGTTTGTTACAGAGAGAAATATCAAGTAAACTTATCATTTGACTGATAGCCTAATAATCCAGTATATACCATTTAATTAGGAGTATGCATAATCCTTCTACATGCAGCAACATGTTAAATCCTATCAGTAATGTTTTGCTTCTTCTTAAACTTCTATTTCTTCTGAAATATTCTTTGCTGCATGTGTATAACTCTCTGTGCAATTCGACTTTTTTTTTCTCTTCATTTATACGCGTATATCAAGCTGTGATAGTAGCAATAACAATTGTCCTCTTTTATTTTTGGACATCTCACTTTTATCAACAAAGTTTAAGTGCATTATTCTTTACCAAAAGATATTGAACTAATTTTGTGTGCAATGTGACATTTGGTGAAAACTAGTTTAATAAAAAAAAAACTACAACAATGTCCTTAGTTTACTACCATAACTGGTAATCGAAAATAGAAAAGACTGGCAGGACACTTTATAAAACAATTTCTCTTCTTGAATTTAGTTGAATTTAAGATGGAAAATTCTCTCAGCTATTCAACTAAAGTCGATTCAATCATGTAGATTAGATAATATACAATGGTATCTCGCGAAACTAGCTCAAACTGTCTTCATACGTATGTGTGCTGTTTTTGCCTTCCATAGTTGTAATCACAGATTAGGGAATGGAATAAAATTCGCTGTTAAGGAATGAAATCATACGACTGCTGGCTGATATGATTTCGGCAACCATACGGATTTTGTGGGGTTGATTTCGGACCGACGAACTCCTAAACCAACTCCAGCTAGTACTAAGCTTGTAATATAGAGGTAGTGTCGAGCATGAAGCTGGCAAACCAACACCGTGAGAACAACGCCACTTCTACGTGGAGTTTTATGCTCCGCTTGGAATATAAGGAATTCGCAAAACTCACATTTACAAAGGCATCATGCAGTGAAATAATTAAGAGTATTTCTTATGAAAAAAAAAAGGTTCATGGCAGATAAAATAGTTTCCAGATACCCACCCTTTCTAGCTAGACACATATGAATATCTGCTAAATTTCTACATGCTTTCTACATCTTTTTATCGGTTCGTTGTGTTTATAAATTTACTTGATAAATTCTCACAGTTTGACCACAGATTGATTAAAAATCAAGGTGTACTGTAATCAGGACAGATACTTTGCTGATGACATTAGCTGGTGGTTGGGCGAAAATCACGGATTGATAGCAGCTAGAATTCATGGTCTGACCATTGAGTCGGCCACTCCCACTGGCTGAATGGTCTACCAACTTGTTTTATAACTGGGAGGTCCTGGATTCGAACCCCCCAGTGGGCACATGCTTCCGTTGAATCTCAGACTATGACGAAACAGTTGTCCAATACTCTCTGGTTTTCAATGGTTCTCTCTAATCCGTGGTCGAAATTGAAACGGGTCTTACCCCTAGGAACCAACTCTTGAAAGTCTCACAGTGTTATACAGTATTATTCATTGATGACGTTTGGAGCACAATTTATCGCTCATAGTCACATCAAGGAACTCTCACACAACTTTTCGAGTACCTTAATATGATAACAAGCAACAGATTACTCTCCAAGTGTCATCAGCAAATAATACTTTATATTACTCTGATAATTTATCAAAATAATTTACTGTATGACGGAGTTCTACTCTACCACAGTGCTCAAGTTCAATTTTTTTTTATCGAGGTCTAACGTATTCCACATAGTTTTTCCGCTAATTTATTCATATTGCCTTAACTTATTGTTATTTCTTTTTATCATTTTAGGAATGCATCAACAAGGTGTTTTTCGAGTTTCTGGTAGTCAAGCGGAGATAAATGAATTTAAAGATGCTTTTGAAAATGGTGATGATCCTTTAATTGGTATTCATGAACCAAGAGATATAAATTCCACGGCTGGACTACTGAAATTATATTTCCGGGAGCTAGGTGAACCACCATTTCCCAATACAATCTTCTTGGAACTTATAAATATAACACGTGAACGTAAGTCTTTGCCAAAAGGTCTTCTTTTTTATTGGGTTAAATTGAGTCTGTTTATTTATTATTATTGTTCCCTTGGGTTCCTAGTGGAACATAGGGCTTCAACTGCACGTCTCCACTTGCCACTTCTGTCTTCCTTCTACTGTACTTTTCACCTGCATCCATGTTAGTCCATACTGTTTCAACTCCTTTTCACACGATCTCCTCCATGTCACCCTTGCACTGATGTCCCACTCGCCTCTTCCCTTTCGGGTTCCACTCGAGCGATGGCCTGACGCGCACGCGATGTCACCCAGCGTCCTCCTCAGCAAGCGAGTGTCCAATCCATCTCCACTTTCTCCTGCATATTTTCGTTCATTTCACCAAGGGCCTCACGACCCATGGTGAGTTCTCTTCCTGTGTTGTCTCCTCCCAGCTTCGCATTCATGTCGCCCATCAGGATTTTGATATCGCCATTTGGGACGTTGTCCATTATTGCTTGTAGTTGTCTGTAGAACGCCTCCTTCTTCTCTTGTTCTGAGACGTTTGTAGGTGCATAGCATTGGATGATTGCAACCTTCCTTCCTTTTGAGTTGAACCTGGTTGTCATTATCCTGGAGGAGATTGGTTCCCACTGCATGAGAGCTTTGGTTGCTGTTGGTGACATCATGATGGCCACTCCGTCGGTGTGCTCGTGATTGTCCTCTAGGTGACCGGAATAGGTTATTGTCCCCCCCCCACCCCCAGTTGGTATTTGGCACCTACCACATCCGTTCCATCTGCTTTCGCAGATTCCCAGCACTTCTTTTCTATATCTCCTCATTTCTGCTGCTACCTGAGCAGCCTTTCCAGTTTCGTACATTGTACGAACATTCCAGGTACCCATCCTTACTTTTGCTTTCATCGAAAGAAGGCATATCGGCTGACTGGCTTCCCGAAGGCTTTGACCAGCCTGCGTGATTTCACTTCCTCGATTCCAGCGAAAAATAAGGCTATTGCTTATGTTTTTAGAATTTTTAATATATTTATTCGTTGAAGTTTCTGTAGCGGTTTTGTTGAGTTTTGGGGGGTGGAGTTGCTAGCACCACGCCTCAACCCCCCTTCTTTACCCGGGCTTGGGACCGGCTAGAAAACTAGCAAGCTAGTAGTTTAGGTGAGGTTGAGTTCGTTTATTACTACATTAGAAACTAAATAACCTTAATTTTTTTCATTGGGAAGCTTCAGTGTTAAAAAAAGCGTGTCACAGTCAGAGTACTTTTTTGTAATCGAATAAAATTATTCATTTTATGTAGTGTTTTTGAATAAATAAGAAAAAGCAACGAGAATCAATACAGATGAAGGGGGTTGCTTTTCCACTACCCGAATTACATTCAGTAATGACAACATTGAATGTATTGTTTTTTTTCAATGTGAAAATTATTCTAGTTCCTCTTTAAACTTCTTCCTTGGATAAAACTGCTTTTTCTCTTTCGTTATTTCTAACCTTAGTTCATTTGTCTTTCTGTTATCTTCTCTATTGAATTGTGTGCTATGCAGAAGATATTCGACCATATATATTTGCGTTTGGCTCATTTTAATCATTAGATGTTGGTTGGAGGCAGTTGGAAGGAAGATTTAGACACAGATACTAGTTACTAACTAGTGTTCAATAAAATTGTCCAGTACTTTCCTATAAGAGGTCAGTCGCGAGCTCGAATGGCTCAGTGTTAAAATGTCCGATCGCAACACTGGGTGACGCAGGTTCGAGCTTCAGGAGCGACACGAGTCCCTGTAAAATTGCAGATACTACTTTCTGACTGATAGTGCCAACAAGCACAAAACCAAGAAGTCCATGGCTTTCTGTCGATTACCTCTAACCATCCGATAACAACAATTCAAAGTGTAATGTGATGGTGAAGCCTGGTGGCCACTGATCGAACTCAGTCTGCACCAAACAGAGGCCTAGACGCATGTTACCAGTTACTAATTGATGTCCATTTTAAAGCACTTTGGTCAGCTTCATATCTCATTGATAGTATTCATTCTTTGCGTTCCTAATACGATATGGGGTTTTAGAGGTACATACCAATTATAGTTAATTCTTAGCCATCGCTTTCATCTGGCTCCATGACTCCCAATGACCTCTCAGTTCCTTTTCACATGAACTTCTCCATGCCACCAACGGATGCTCAACCCGTTCGACTTAGCGTGTAATTTCACTCAGTGCATATCTAATTCTTGTCCATCATTGATTACCAGTTAATAAAACATTGAAGTGAAGTGCTTAGTGCCTGGGACTCCTCACCTTCTACAAACAAATCATGTTTTCGTAGATGTATCCGCTGATATTACGATTTTCTTCTTAGCTTTATAGATATTTTGCTTAAGATTTCACAGTTGGAGCATACACTTTGAAATAAATAAAGAAGTGAATATTTATTGTCTTTAAATTAAAATTCCATTCTAATGTTAGCCGTCTTGTGTATTCCACTCTTAGCACAATTATAGATACATATATAACAAATCGTGGAAGATACCCATTGGAACATTAGATTGAAAAGAACAAGAACTTCAGTAAAGATATCTTTTCGGCGATTTCATTCGCAAAACCAGCCGTACAATCGCATTCATATAGATTAGTTTACATGGATACAATTATTGTTTGTTTAATTCCACATAGTAACGAAGGTGATAATAATTTTCAACTTGATATGAAAGTTTGAAAGTGCGAATATGGATTACAATGGGCTTAGAGACAAGATTGCATAGGATTAGAAAACAGTTACAATGAAAGTAAAAATTAATATTTGATAACCGGAGAAATAATTTTAAAGGCGAATAAAAGGTGATAATTGTTTTCAACTTGATATGAATTACAAGAGGCTTAAAGACGCAGGGATAGCACGAAATACAGGTGTGAACAAAATGAGCATGGAAACAAATTGAAATCAAAATTTTCAACTTGAAATGTAAGTTAGGAGGTGTGAATATAGATTACTAGAGGCATAGAAACAAAAAATTACACAGGATTAGAATATAATTGGTTATTCTAAACGGATTACGAGTGTGACCAGGAGGAGCATGGAAACAAACTTTAAATAACTGATTTTATAACTGAAAAATAGGATGAATTGAATGAAGGCAACGAGAGAAAATTACACACACAGATAACAAAACAAAAAAAACTGAAGGATAAGGGAACATACTGAACTAGGTCCGTGGTAGTTGTAAAGGCTGGACTAGTTTCTTTTGAACACATAGCTCCGGCTTTTGGATGCATATGGCGAGAGTTTCTGCAGTACAAAGAAGTCGGAAACATACTGCTTTTGGTAGATTTTTGTTTACTTGGTAAATGACTCTAAATGATGAGTCGGTTGAGATTCTGTGACAGGTATTGACGAGATCTTCAGTTATTGCGCTTCTGATTGAACCAGTGCCTCCTCTTTGCAGCCATGCTGGATGATGTTCTCTAACACGTTTTGATAAGACCCGCATAGAACGACATATATAACATACTTTTGGTATAAGGAATTTATTTGAGAATAGAAATTAAGTGTAACATTTAAGGTTTTCTACTATTACTGACATATCTTTCTAAGACAGAAAAGTCATACCGATAACGATCACGCGCCTCACATGTAGAAGGTAAGCTGTCGTTATCATTTTCAAAGGTCATTGCAACTACTAATCTGAAGCACAGTTGTTACGTGGGGAACATATGGCTTCAATACCACATCTCTATTTTACCCTATTTTCTGCAGTCCTCTTTTGTTTAGCTCCTCAATTTCCCATAAGCTTTCATCTCCTTCTCACACGATCTCTTCCATGTCACCCTTGAACTGATGCCCAACTCGTCGTTTGCGATTGGGGCATCCCGAAAAACCAACTTTAAATTGATGCTTAATAAGTTTTTTTTAGGTGCGATGCGTCCTAGTTTCTCTCTACTGTCTGTAGCACAGCGGTTAGAACTCTTGCCGACCATGCACATGGTCCGGGGTTCGATCCCCTGCCGATGCACATCTGATATCGATGGGTCGGGATGCAAAATCTGGGCTATCGATATCACATGCTGAAAATTCCATATTTGTACCAAGAATACTGTGTGTTTTCAAGCTAAAATCAAAACAATAGAAAAATTTACTCATTGAATCTCCTGGTCTTTAAATACCAGTTCCAGTGGTATAAGCTCCGTTTTCCCGATTTCAGCTGAAGATTCTAGGTAATAGCATACAATGAGTATTAATCGACTTCATTTTGCCTTTCGTAATCAGGGGATATTTATGTTATCGTATCTATACGACGTTGCTTATTTTCTTTCTCGTTTTGCCCAGTTTGTCAATCGATTTCTTTATACTTATTATTATTATTATTATTATTATTACTACTACTACTACTACTACTAACAAGTATTATAATTTAACAGTTTTTTTGTTGTTGTTGCAATAATAGTAATTTGTATCAGTGGTTTGTATTCCTCCAGTCTTCATGTTGTTTTTGTCTCTTTGTCTATCCATCTGTCTGGTAATCATACCAACCAACCAACCAACCAGCGAACTATTTTCCCTATAGACTGTTTTCTTATTTATTCAATTTTTTTGAATTTGATAACTAACATTTTAGTGTACTAGTACAAATGTCTTTGTGTGAATAGGGTATGGTGATCTTTGTCTAACAGACTACTACTACTTGTATGCCTAATCTGTTCAACTATTATACTACTGAATTTCTCACAAGGAAAGATAAAAATCCATTATTATAAATAAAGAAAACAAAATAGAATGATAGGGGTTATCGTTTTTGAATGTTGTTTAATTCTAGGGAATGTAACTAGTAGATTTTTACTCACCTTCCGATTGACATCAGATTGGTTATTTTTTCCGTTCCTTGTGTGTTCCTAATGGAATGTAAGGCTTGAAGCGTTTTTGAAGCTTCAGTGGAGTGGTGATGTTGTTTTTACGGGTAGTGGAATTCCTGTCCACACGCTCAGCACTCCTTTTTTTCTAGAATTGCTACTGGTTAGGGGAGGTCCATGAGTTAATCGGATA